CACCCACACCCGCACCCCACACCCACACCCACACCCACACCGACACCCACATCCACACCCACACCCACACCCCACATCCACACGCACACGCACACCCACACCCACACCCACACCCACACCCACACCCACACCCCACACCCACACCCCACACCCACACCCACAGCCCATCACAGACCGTGACAGAGAAATCCAATACTCGTCACAGACCGTGACAGAGAAACCCAGTACCAATCACAGACCGTGACAGATAAATCCAATACCCGTCACAGACCGCGACGGAGAAATCCACTACCCATCACAGACCGTGATAGAGGAGCTCCAAAGACCGCCACAGACCGTGATAGAGAAAATTCAAATTCCTTCATTCACAATATAAAAGGCTCCATCGTGTTTCACATTTTTAATCCCGTAGGGATTGCGCTGAAAGCTTTTTTTAATAGCGTCAAATAATTGAACACATGTTTGTGTCACAGGAGATCGTTTACAATTTGATAGTATTGAGCAGTTTATCAAAAAGTATGCTCATCAGATTAAAGTGATACACATTTCATCATTTCGGTTATGGTCCGATTATACACCATGGGTAAAGCCAATTTCATCTTGTTTAGCACATGTACGTGTCTTTGATTTTCCTGGTGAAGACATAAATCATTGTCGTCGTATATTACAAATCTATGAATCAATATATAATCCTTGTTATCACTCTTTTCCACATGTGCGACAATGGTTCTTTACACATGAACCTATGCCAGACGCTTAATTACATGAAATATTCTGTTCAATTCGGACACATAAGTAGAAATTATTGCTTAGTAAATTTGAATTTTATTTTTATTTTTTAAGAGCAAACAATGTTGTATTGACTCGTCATTCAGATTTTAATGCATATACATGTCATGTCAAAAGTTCTAATTCAGTGCAACATGGTATTCTTGCCGATTTCTATCCACCAAAAGTTTATTCAATACACTTTCCAAATGTCAGAGAAGTGACTGTTCATCATGATTGTCATATTGTTTCTAGCTTGTTTATCGATAATAATATCAAATGGAGTATTCCATTAACACAACTTACTAATCTAAATATCGAGACTGTTTCTATAGATTTAAGTGTGGTAGTCGATATCTTACAATTCACACCAAATATCCATACATTGCCATTAACATTAGTGAGAAGATGTTCAAGAGAGTGTTCATCACTAGAAGAAAGTGAAACATTTCAACTGGTATCAAATCAAAATAAAGTAAAAAATCTTACTCTTAAAAATTATTATAAATTAAAAATGATTAAAGTATTAATTAATCTTTGTCATCGATTGGAATACATTTCATTTGGTACATCTATACAATCTCTCGAAGTAACCGTTAAATACTTATTGTTGCAAAGAAATGAAAGTATTCATCATTTGTTTTCATTATGTATTTTTGGAGTAGATATGATGTGGATTGAAAAATTACAAAATCTGATTGATGCAACAGAAACTTCTAGATAAGTACTTAACAAAAGTTGTTAATGATAAGTTCTACTTGAAGTTATGAAATTAATTATCAGTAACATATTTTTGTTTTAAACGTTAATAAATTCGAAATAAAACAGAAGATTGATATTCTTGTCTTATTCATCCGACACACGATTGTCCATTCTTACAAGATGATATTTTACCTTTAATTTATTAGCACACATAGTGAAAAAATATGTATGCTTTTTTAGGATAATTCAATATATTAAAACCGGTAATCGGATAAAATTGAAGCAATAACACAATCCATTGTAGATATCAGATTTTATTAGTAGAATTCATCACTTGAACTGATATATTGGTTGTCAATTAAATAATTAATTTTATGCGATTGACAAATGCCTTTGTTCTTTAGGTACAGTTTTTAATTCAATTATATCTCTTGGTACCCACATTTAAACTAAAGCTATGAGGATGTGAGAGTAAGAATGAATAAGATTAAGTTGTGAAACAGTATTCGCATCCATCGAAGATTTCTACCTCTTGTACAAACTCAATATTTTGTATGAAATAAAAATAGTATTATTGCTTTTTCATTAGATATAAGTATCACATTTTCATGAATTCCCAATAGAGTAAGGTACATCATGACTTCCAAAGTATGACTTTTGCGTCGAAAAATTCACTTTTATGACAAGAAACTTCTCACAACGTAAACAAATCATAAGTAAGCTTAAATCAATAGAGCATGTTTTAAGAATGGCTCATGTGCGGATATTAGAAGCATATTCACACTCACACTCTGGTTATCTTTATAAAAACCACTTCTCGGATAGTCCAATACATCATTTTAAAATACAAGTGTGCCACGTACGGTAGATCAAACTCGTATTAGCATCGCAGGAGCTTTCGATGGAAAGCCTAACTAGGCACAAATCGACATCTATAGGGTGTGGGTGGAGTGGTGGATTTTTTTCTTTCTACACCCACACCCACACCCTCAAGATCTCTTTCTATGGATTAGCCTTAGTCATATTATTTGATCAAAAATTAAAAGAATATATGTGAAAAGATCGAACTTTAGCACAATATTGGATTATGTAATTTAATTGGCAACCGCACCAAACAATTAACTTTGATCACTTCTTTTCGGCAGGTGCCAGTTTTAGAAGAATATTCGGTACAGAACCACCTTCATAATCCTTGTATGGACGTGATAATCCATCATCTTTTTTCTTCCACAACCATGTTCTTGGGTCAATGACTGTCAATTCTTTTCCACCTAACTTTTTTGTATAGATATGACGAGTGGCCGGATTTGATACCTGCACAAGTGCATATTGAAATCCTTTTGCGTCTCGAGCATGATCACATATAGATGCACGCAGGCGACTAGCCACACCTTTGCCACAATGAGCCGCTCGAGTTGCACCTGTTGTGATTTGTAAGACCATGTTAGGCGTCAGTTCTTGGCCAAAGTCTCGACAAACAAAAATTTCATTCATTTCGTCGAGTAAATCGAGAAAAGGTATTGCTGCTGGAGAACTAGTAGCATCATATGGATGTTCCTTATATGCCATATGAAGATCTTGAGCAAAAATAGCAGCGATAATTTCACCTGAAGCGCGATGCCGTGCCATAAAAGACAATTTTTCCTTGAGTGCTCTTGTTATTAATGGCCATGTTACTTCTTGGAAGAAATATTGTGGTTCTGTTCGAAGAAAAATACATGTGGGTTCGTGCTTAGCGAATTCTTCGGCAATTAGCTGCGCGCATGTACGTGCATCGTTCTCATTGTCGATTACTTCAAACGTATATTCTTCGTTTTCAGCCATTTTGTTCCCAAGCAGAAACAGAATAGAAATCGAAAAACAAATACTATTTCTCTTCTGTTGTTTTTATCTCTGTTTCTTTTTCACCCATTTTCTCTCCTTTTCTCTTACTTAATAGGCTCTTAACCTGCATTACTTTATCGAGCATCGACGCGATACAGCCTTGAAAAACAGATAAAAATTGCTTTATTCTATTTAGCGAAAAAATAAAACTTTTTAGCACTTCATTTATTTCGATTATTGTCACGTTCATGATATTTTTCATCATTTTAACGAAGAGATGAGAGATGTCATTTACTGTTTAATTTACAATAAATTCAAGTTCTTAGTAACTTATATTTATGATAAATGTAAATTATTTTTTGTCATAATTTACATCTATCAGCAAATGTAAATTATGACAATTTAAATTTATTTGTAAATGTAAATTGCGATAATTTATTTAGGGCATACCATAAATAGTGGTAAAGCTTCATAAAAACCTTGTAAAAGGCTTTCAAAAATTATCTTTTTTAACCTGATGATAGGGAAAAACGAGTCTATTATTCTATGCTATTTGATCATTATCTGTATAATATCATAGCGATAAAAGTCCCTCAAAACATGTTTCATCATGGTATTTCCCCACATTTTTAGCATATATCGTTTTTAATTTGTGTTTTCGTATTTATTTATTTTTTTGTTTTTTGTTCTATTCCTATTTTTTCTTTATTCTTTTTTCTTATCTATTTTAATACGTAACCCTATGTATATAACGATACTATATAACGAGAGGAGAGAACAGGAAAAAAAAGCTTGTTAGCGCAGCTCCTGCGGAGCTGAAATGTGGAACTCACGTATACCTTTAGCTTTGTTACCTGACGCATCATCTGTATACTGAAAGACT